CCGTGAAAGTTTCTTGAATTTAAAGCTTCGTAAATTACATTCCGCGCATTTCTAAAGGAAAAAAAAATATGTAAACAATGCCAGTAATGGCGGCCGGACAACGCGAAAGAGATCGAACTTAGATTGACGATAAATCAAAAATGGTAATTGAGCGCAATGCTTTAATATCATTTTCGAAATAACCAAACAATTTCACACCAGAATGGTACATTTTCGAGACAGGGGGCTTTTGATACTTACACATGTCCCAAAAGAAATTATTTTATTCACACAGTTCCAACGACGAGAATGTTTTAACAGAAAAAACAAATCAAGAAATAAACATACCAGCCTTATGGCCTTTGTTTGATCGTCCGTAACAAGGTGAGTCAAAATTCCTTTATTTTTTTCTACATTAGGCTGTGTACATGTTGTCCATTTTCCATATGTGTAGACGCCCTGGTGGTTAGGAAGGTATTCCGTTCCTCAAATTGATGCCAAAATGGAAGAATTCTCTCTTAAATGCGTTCAACCCAAGAGAAAACAACTGTTCTTTCCCTACACAGTGTTCTTAATAAGTCAAATCCTGTTTTTATTAAGGAGACAGAAATCAGCAACATGTACTATATCAGGTGGACCGGAGTTCAAAGTATCTGAATGCCAAACAAGGTCTTTGAACCAAGCCAAGTTGTTCAGGGGAGGGATAACAATTGTTTCCATTAAACAACCCTTGTGTGATTAAGATTCAGTGCTTCTTGAATTGTCAAAGAGAAAGATTTAATTTCACTACACATATAGACGTACATGTATGTGTGTACACTTGTTGTGATGCTAGTCATCGATGAGGAGCTGTCCTCAGGCTTACACAGTAAAGTTCCCAGACATTTGATGCCAAAACTAGGTCTGAAACCTATATATATATTTTAATTAAATATACAAAATTTTTCAGTGTGTCTCTTTTTTTAGACATCAATTGAGTATTAAAAAATAGAAATTGAAATTAAATATTTATGATGTGGCACTAACAGTAATCCAACTATCTAAATGGCAGATTACGATTGATTTTTTCAAATAGCCATTTTAATGCTGATACTTATATAGTTTGATGCATAGAAAGAAAACATCAATCAATTCAATGTAATATTAATAACAGTGGCGTAGCTAGAGTAAACGTCACCCGGGGCGGTCCGCTGAAATGTCACCCCAATGACCTCGATTCACCCTATGCTGAATGGTTAGCTGTAGCTAAATTTTCATACATGCTCTACCTCTACTTTACTCTGCTGACCGGTACGTTACTGTTTACATGTATGATCCAAGACAAAATCCAATACCACAAAATAATCAGTTCAAATCAAAAGATTTTTAAAATGCAACTGTTCACTTTCAGAACAACTAAATACAAAACACGGCAATACACAATGACATTCGATATTATGGTTTTATAATGAATGTTTTCTTGTTTTCATTGTGGCAAACTGGTCAATGACATCGTCAAAATCTGTTTGTCTTGTAAGCTCGTTTTCAATGGACAGCACAGCCAGATCCGACAGTCTCGACTGGCTCATGGTTGACGTAATTTTCTGTTGCTAATTTTCCGGTGTCCAATTTTCCGTTGCATCATTTTCTGGGTACCATTTAATTATCAATGATGTTTGAAAGTATTTTTCTTGACAAAAATGTTCTATTTCATTTTTAAGCATTTTCGGAACATTGTAAATCAACTGCATTCTTTTAAAGGTTAACCTAGAGAATTTATGCAAAGTTTATTTTTTTGTTTTTCTTTATACAAGTAAAATAAATTTACATCGTATTTTGATGTTATTATGATTTTAGTTTTAGTGATAATTTAAAAACAATAAATATTTATCATTATTACCAATAATGGAAAATTAAGTTAAAAATTTAAAAGAATCGTTTTTAGAATCGGAAAATAGGTACGATTTTTTTTTTCGATTCCGATACCGTTTCCGATAATTCAAAAAGTTCCAATTTTTCCGACTCTAGATTCCGATTCCGATTAATCGTCCCAACACTAGTAAATATATTCAAAAGTATATCGCTCACTCAATGGAAAATTGTATCTCAGCGGATACACAGGCAAGACTTGAAATTGTTGCACTTTTGGCTTCGTATTTCGCTTTGTTGTTATTAATGATGCAGAGTTAAAACACCATATCATCCGATATAAAATGTTTTACAACAATGTCTCTTGTTAGTAACCAAGATTGTAGCAACTGAAACACATGAAAGTTCTGAAAACATTGTTATTTTTTTTCGTACTCACAAATTTCCCAACAATTTATTCGAAAATTTCTGACTGGGGAACAAAAAAATAACTGATTTCGGGGGGTCATAAATTATTTCGGGGGTTCCATTTCGTTATTGTTTTCACCCCTACTTTCTCACAGAGCTTTGGTGGGCGGCGCATTGTTTTTATAAATTATTTCCTCCCCGAACTGGGGTCATATGCCCGCCTGCGAAACCCTGTATCTCCACCACCTTAGCCCGGTTGAAAAATTTTGTTGGGGGTGACATTGTGTCACCCCTCCTGTTTTCATGCAAGAGTCGGTCAGAGGCCTCTTGACCACATCTGGTCGAGCTCCTTTTCCGCAATTCTATTTTCCCTTTGTTTTAAAAAAAATAGTCCGCCCGCCCTTAGCTACGCCACTGATTAATAACAGCAAAGTTCGGTTTTAAACACTAATGGTAATCCAAGGTTCAAAATGGCGTATTACGTTTTATTTTTTATATACTCATTCAATGATGATTCTTGTGTACATTGATGCATAGAAACAAAAAACATCAATTACAATAAATTGCATGTAATATTAACAAATATAATGGAAGATTCAAGAAATTGCACATAAATTTTCATTTTTAAAATAAGAAACAAATCAATTTGACATTCAACATTTTTGCATCCAAGAATTAATCTCATATTTAGGCAGATATCTTTTTTTTATCAATTCACTCCAAGCAAGGCGATAATGCCACCAAGATGCAAGGGTATACTGGGAGTGAAAGAGAATGAAAAGATGTTAGAAGGAACCAGAAAACCAATCCAAAGCTCTTTTAAAAGTATTTAAAATATAGCAGTTGCCTTCCAAAGCTTAACAAAGTATTATGAAATAGAAAAATATCATTAGAAACAAAGAAAAGACTACTGAAGAGTTATGCAATATCAGACTTCCTATATAGCAGTGAAGGATGAACAATCTCTTCATAGATGAAGAAGAGGCTTGAAGTAACAGAATGTGGTTCTACAGAAGGATGCTGAGAATAAAAAACATGTGAGCAGTAACAAAGTTCTAGAGGCAATGGTAACAAAAAGACACTCATACTTAACACCGGGAAGAGATAGTTGAAATTCAGGGGGCATATAAAGAGGAAAAACAACTTGGAAAATCTGATACTCACAGGACAGATTGAAGGTAAAATGGTCAGAGGAAAGTGATGCACAACTTATCAGGCAAACTTCAGTAAATGGATGGCAGAGCAGGATTTGGTAGAGATGACAAAAAGACAAACGCTATTAAGAGCTAAAAAGAAAAGGAAATTGTGAAGAGTCATGATCACCAAAATCCTGAAGGAACACAACACATAGAAGAAATAATGATGGATATTTGTGTCTTCAAATCTTGTTGCAGTGATCCAACTTCTCCTTTCAGAGTCCCTGCTGTTAATATTAACATTGATTTCAATGATTATATATATATAAACATGAACATTAAAGTCAACACTCAGAGGCAACAGACTGTTTCATGCTAAATCTCTATCTATAAAAGGCAGGATGTGTGTGTGTGTGTGTGTGTGTGTGTGTGTGTGACGAATGCACGGCCGCAATTTTCGATTTTGCACCAAAATTTACATGCACATGCTCCAAGTTAACGGGAAGGCCAAGGCCGACTTTGCATTTTTCAACTCCCATCGATAGTAGAAATAATCGATTTTTCATGCTTCTACGGCAGTTTTCATGTAGTTCGCGGCCATTTTGTTCTGGCCAGAGTGAGAATCTATAGCTGGCTGCTACGAATAGGCAGGAAGATTCTATTGGCCAGCGTGAGAGCCAACAGCTGACTGACACGAATGTTAACTAGCATTCTAGCATGCAAAAAAAAATCGATAGCTGCATTCGTTACAAGTGGGAAAAATTTAAATCTGCATGGCACTTTACTCCAATTGGCTCATTCGCTTGCTTAAACCCAACATTGATTCTGATTCCGCAGAACTGGGTTGGGTGTGAAAAAGTATTTGTTGTTAACATTCTTTTTTCATTCGGTTTTTCCAGTTACGAGTCCTTTTTTAAAGCTGATCGTTTTGTGTTCATTTTGCTTAGTTCTTTTTTCGTAACAGATTTAATGTTTAGTATAGAGCTTAAAAAAATTCGCAGTGTGAGATAGGCAAGAAGTAAGGCATGAAGCAACATCAGCACGGCAAAGGGCACTCCTTTAAAGGCAAGGAAGGGCAAAAATATTTTAAGTCAAGTGATAGTGATTGCTGTATGAGTCGTACGATTTTTGAATCAAGCACGGGCAACGCCGGGCCATGCTGCTAGTATACACACACGCACACACGCAGCGTTGGTACACATGGAATAAAATTCCAATAACAAAAAACACTATTCTTTAAAGATTGCTCAATACGGAGTAGAACTAATAATATTTATTCAAATCTATAACACATTCATATGCTTGTTATAAGATCACTACAAAATTTTGTAGTGATGTTATAACATGCCGACACCCAGCGACAGCAGCCTTTTGTCTACCACCATTTGGCTCGTCGTTAGACACGCGTCTACTGGTCGTCAGTAAATGGCGTTTATTTCCCCGAACGCGCTCGCCCGACCGATGCTGGTGTACGATTTCGTTTCCGTTCGTTATTCACTCCGTCGGTTTTCGGTGGAACTGTCGTTGCGATCTCTCTTATGAGGGCCTCGTTGCTGAGCGGTCCTTCTCGGACGAGGACTTTCTACGTAAATGGAAACCGGTTTTCGAGCGTGACTGTTGAACGAGCTCATGTCCCCTATCCTCGTTTCCGATATTGTCTCCGCTCTCGCGTCAATGAAAGAATCTTCCCCCGGACCTGATGGCCTCCGCCTTAACACCTTGCGGGATATTCCCGTAGAGGTCATCACCCTGCTATGTAACTTGCTGCTGCTGAAGGGTCCGCCGCCATCCAAGGGTAGAGCCGGCAATATCTTCACCTCTCGGGTGACTTTCATCAAGAAGGTGGAGGTACCCGGCGACCCCTTGGAATTTCGACCTATCGCCATCGGGAACTATTTTGTGAGGGTGTACCATCGAGTCCTAGCCAGCCGTTTCGAAGCATCCGTGCCGAACCATCAAGACCAAGCCGGGTTTCAGCGTCTTGACGGGATTGCACACAATGTCCTGAAACTACATGCGGCCATCGCCGAAGCCCGCAATAAGAACGAAAACCTTGTAGTGGCCGCCGTGGACATTCGTAAGGCTTTTGACTCACTCTCTCACAATTTTTGAGGCGGAAGGGGGTCCCCGACCCTCTTCTCCATTACTTTTGCTCCTATTTCAGCTCCAGTAGGTTGCAGATCGGGAGGGATCTGATCCACCCCGCCTACCGTGGGGTAAAGCAAGGGGACCCCCTGTCCCCTTGGATATTTAACATCGCGATGGATCAGATCCTAGAGGGGCAGGAGGAGTACGCCTTTTCCATCGGCGCGCTAGTGTTGAATCAAATGGCTTATGCTGATGATCTCATACTATTCGCCAGCTCCCCTGACGAGATGCAGAAGCGGATAGACCGGCTCGTTGTCGGCCTTGGCAAGCTCGGACTCGAACTCAACGCCCTGAAATGCCGTGTGTTATGCATTCGTGGGAACAAGAAGAGGAAGTTCTGCTATGTGGACACCGCCGTATCTATTATGGTGGACGGAGTCGCCCTCCCGGCCATAACTGCTGAGTCTGAGTTTAACTATCTCGGAGTCCAGTTCAACTGGAGGGGCGTCGCTCGGACACCTCTTGGTCTCGAACATCTTTTGACCAGGCTCGATCGCGCTGCGCTCAAACCGCAGCAAAAGCTGAACTTCCTTAAAAAATTCTTGCTTCCGCGTTTGCATCACCGCCTCACTTTTGGCCGCCATCACAGGGCTGAACTGGTTAAGGGCGACAGGATGATTCGTCGGGCGGTTCGTAGGTGGCTCCGGCTGCCTTCCGACTGTCCCAATTCCGCCATCCACTCTCCGGCGAGATTCGGCGGTTTAGGGGTTGCTTCGCTGGAACAGCTCGTTACCACACTGAAAGGCAAACGCCTTAGCCTTTTTACTGAAGGGTGCGCAGAAGATGCCCCGGTTGCATCTAACCCTCAGTCCGATATTTAATGACATACAAATTCAGCAACTATACCAACTGCACCCGAGAGGGCCTGGTTGAAGACCTGCTTAGTAGGTTGGACACCAGGGGCCTAAATGGGTATGATCATGTTCCGGCTGTTAACAGCTGGCTTGATTATGCCCCCGCCACCTTGGCCGGCGTTGAGTTTCAGGAGGCCATCCGAATCCGTTTAGGCTGTATGGGCACGCCAGCCCGGTTATCCCGGGGTGGCCGAAGGGTCGATACGATATGTAAATGTGGTCGCAATGCTCCCATGAGCCTGCCCCACGTAGCCCAAGCCTGCGGTATCGTTGATGGTCTTCGTACGAAAAGGCATGACAATGTTGTGCTCTTCGTGGCGCAATCCATGAAGAAGCGGAATTTGGATGTCATTATGGAACCGAGATTTGAGACTGAGAGAGGCCTGCGAAAGCCGGACATCATGGTCCGTACCAGGAAGGGTTAATATTCCTCGACGTGCAGGTTCGTCCCGATTCTGCCGTGTGTCGTCTGGACGCGTGCAACGCCGAAAAAATCCGGAAATATAACCAGCGGTACTTCCTTGATGCTGTCCGTGATCGTTTCGGTAGCGATATTCCCATCCAAATCGTTGCCCTGACGTATAATTGGCGAGGTGCGGTGGCCCAACAGTCCTACCAGGATTGTCATACATTGGGTTTGTTGCGGTGGAGGCATTTTGGGATGATTTCCAGACTTGTTCTCCGTGATACTGCTCAGATGCTCCGTGCATATTGGCGCGCTCCGGCGGAGGGGCTGACTCGCCCTGCTGCTTCGCCGAGGTTGCTTCGTGACTGCTCTGAGTAGTCTAGTTAAGCCTAACTTCCAAAAAAAAAAAAAAAAAATTTCACCCCCCTATTATCTTTCCGGCTACGGTTGGATTCCCGGTCTACAGGGGCTAACTCACCTAACCTTCTTAGGTTAAAGGGAAATTTCCGGCCCTCGCTGTAGATGACGATTAAAACGCACTCTACCTCCCCGTGGTGGCATTTGGAAACGCCCTCCAGGCGGCTAAACGGGTGCAACAGCGAGTGGTCGTGAGTTAGACAAATGCCTCGTCATCTAATTAGTGACGCGCATGAACGGATCAACGAGATTCCCACTGTCCCTACCTACTATCTAGCGAAACCACAGCCAAGGGAACGGGCTTGGAACGATCGGCGGGGAAAGAAGACCCTGTTGAGCTTGACTCTAGTCTGACTCTGTGAGGAGACACGGGAGGTGTAGCATAGGCGGAGACACGCCTTTGTCGGCGTCGATCGGGGCCGGGCGGCGGCCGTCGGTTGCCGTGGAGGTCGGTTTCGTTTGATGGTGCGAATGCGGTTGAGGGGACGGGGGTTTCCGGCTGGGGGGTTCACCTCTCGTCGTTCTCTCTCTGTCTCCCTCTTCCGTTTTCTTCTCCATCGGGCGAGGCCTCCGCCTCTTCGGTGAGCCGTTGTTTCGTCGAGAATTCCCAATTTCCCCAGTTTGTTTTTGTCCCCTGTTAAAATCTTGGCGGGATCAGCCTTTGTTTTTGCCATTCAGTCTTTTTTTTCCTACCCATTCCATTAGTGAGTGTGCTTCTTGATTCTGCTTATCGGCAGAATACAGCGGCCATTCCTATTATTTTGAGGCGTGGGTGGGTCCTACCAACATTTGTTTTTATTTTTATTTGTGTTGCATTTTTAGTTTGTTACTGGGTTCATCGCCTTCCCATTATTTCATGTATTATGAAATTTTTTATATAATTTTAGAATTTATGGACTTCAGAATTTTTATGTCATGAGGTGTTTTGTAGGTCCCCTGTGAATATGCGATATTTTGGTATATGTAGGTTTGACAATTGATGGATAAGTTCTTGTGGTGAATGAGTAAATTGTAATGAATGAATTGGTCGTTATTCGGATTAACTAGGACTAAGATAGCTGAAGATTACCAACCTGTCCCCCTCCCCCTTTTCGGCCATGTGCCAAAATTTCTGTATCATCATAAATAAATACAACGAGATACAAGAGGGCATCCATGTTAGCAGGTAAGTCAACAGTTTTGATAATTTTCAACTACGCTCGCTTGCACGCTACTTATTGCTTGCATGGAAGGTTTACTAAACTTAACACCGACGTTTTGTGCTTTGCATTTGATCAATAGTCCAGCTATTTCATCATAGACTTCTGCTAAAAAACACATTTTCAATGTTATAATGAGAATTGATGTACAGATTGTGTTAAAGAATACAAAGATTTTATTTTAAGTAAATGATATTCCATCAAAGAGGTCAGTGTAGTGTGACACCGAGGCTGTGAGGTGGTTAAATGTTAACTCTGAACAGAAAAAGGGTTAAGCTCAAAATGAATATAAACTGGAAGATAGAGATAGAGGAGAAAGAGAATGGAAGACATTTCCCCTGGTAATGTAGAAGGGACAAAAGGGTCAACTAGATTGTCTGTCTCCCCTCCTACGAATTGGAACGATGTACCAAGAGTTTACTTTTTATCTATCGAAAATCTAGGTATGCGAGTAAAACAAATTGGGAAATGGTTTTATCTCTGTCTTGTGAAATTAGAAAACAAATATCATGAACGAGAAGAGAAACAGACGGGAATTATATTTTCGTTAGCGAAAACGAATTGAGAAATGAAAACAGGGAATAAACCCGCTGAGAGGGATAGGATTATGAAAATCGATCCTATCGTGACAGGCAGGTGGTCTGATTTGTGTTTGCGCTGAGACAGCAATCAGCACACGGATGGAGAACAGCTTGTCTCTTTGTTGAGAATTTAGGTAAACAAATATATTTTCGTTGATTTTATCACTCGCCCGGAAAGTTAAATGAGAGCACAGTTGTCTGGTTTGTGTTCTCGATGGACAGAAGTAATTATATGGAAGTGGAAGAGAGTCAGAGAATTGAAATTAATGATGAGAATAAACTCCGTTCTTTCGCCTTCGCATTTTAAAAATTAGATTTGTCACAAAGACAGTTATGCCAGATTTTCTGGTACATGTAGATTTTGCATAACAGGGTAACGACCCTAAAGTCAATGTCTCATAAGTAGAAATGTAAAATGCCATTTGAGGGTTAAAATGTTTAAATAAACAGAAAATTAAAACATCGTTTGCAAATTCAACTCTAGCTTCAAGAGGGTACGAACCCTGGACCACAAATTAGAAGAAGGAAATGAGAAGTTATGTTGATAGCTGATAAGATTTTCAAGTACAGATATCAGTGCGAAATGCCTTTTCGACCATAACGGAATTGGTGTGCTGATAGGTAGAACTTGGATAGTTTTATTTTTATTTTTTTTTTTAATGAACTTCACGTCGGTGGACCCGGTGTTTGTTTGAAAGGATAATGATTAGTACAATGTTTGAAAACTAGTAAAGGTGAAATTAATTTGAAGCTGATGACTTGTGAGAAACCACAGGTCCCTTTTTTGGCGACTATCGTTTGCAATTTTTTAATTATCACTAGTTTGGATTTCTGGCGAGGAATCCAACGCTGAAAAGAAAGCCAGCTGGTTAATTTATTGGCATACAGGTATGATGAAATGTGAACTATGGTCATTGTGAATTGTCATTTTCTGGGATATGGCTAAGTAAAGTGAAGACATTAATCATTGTTATCGGGAAAGATTTCTCTATTTTCCGTGAGGGAAGAAACGTACCGGGTTAGAACACACCCTCATTTCGGCAAACACACAGACACAGTGAATACAGAAAGAACCCTCAGACGTCATTCCGTAAAAGGTAAATTTTGCTAACTTTTTTTTTCCTCTTCACATTAAATTTTGTTAAGTTTACAGAACGCGTTTGGTTCATTTATCAAAGAACTTTTTCTTCCCCCAGCTCCTCAAGCAGACCACCAACACTCGACCGTAAACAGCAACCAGAAGTGAAGAGATGCCACGCTCTGCGGGAGATCTATTTCATTGATTTTCTACGGGGGAAATTGGAACAGAGAAATCTACCAGCCTTGTTCCTGGAAATGGCGTAGATGGTTGATACTGATTAATTACCGGATCCATCCGGTTAAATCTAGTTCAGAAAACCAGTTAGCTGTAACTCAGTGCCGTGACTAGGATTCCGTTATATATGGTGCGTGTCACCAGGATGTAACCCAGGACATCAGGAAAACGAACCCAGCCACGCTTATGGAGGAAGGAGAATCAATGGGGGTTTTAATACCCCCACTACTAAAAATTTAAATTTTAAGTTAGGAGATTCATTGAGCAAAAAGAGGTATTTTGGTGACTATAGTGTGACTATTAAAAGTAAATGCGATATTATAGTGAATGAAAAATTATATACATATATGGATCAATGAGTGAGAGTAGTTAAGTTACGACTAGCGAAGACCAGCCTTCCATTATAGCCCTTGTTGCACATTTTGTTCTCATGTGCGAATAAATATTGAGAACCTTTATAGAGTCTGTGTACACAGTGGACTGTGTCACTTTCTGCATGCGTCCTTATACCCATGCATGGAAATCGCTGTTTCATTAACAATTACCTACAGACACGTTTTCTATTGTCGTCTATTAAAATTATTTACGAGACAAAATGAAAAGAAAACTTAAGATACATTCAAATTCATTGTACCGTTCTAGAAAGTACAAACCACACAGTACTTGAAGATAAATCCAGTTGTCAAGTGGCCACCCTTAAAGAAATTACCCGAAATTTTCGTTCCATTCGCTAAATATTAGAACGGGTTGGAAAAAGAAGAAAAAGAACTATATATATATATATAACATCATATAGTAACTTGTTCAGGCGTTGTCCATTTTGTGTGCGCGTATTCAACTCCTTGGTTTAGCTTGGTTGAAATACCCCAGTGATAATTCGGTTTGACCCTCTTAAGATCAAAAATCACAACGTGGGTAAGAGGGGTCATAGTTGAAGAGGTCAACTTAAAGACTAGCTGCTATGTCAAACGCCATCAACGATCGACGAGCGTGGGCTGACGACTTGTTCTCCAATACCAGGATCGATCCTGACCAAAGACAGCAGGGTGTGACCCGGCTACACCGCCATAGTTGCCATATTCATGACGTTTCGACCGTTGTACACTCCAGCCGTCTTGAGGTGATTGAAATTCTAAACCGAACCCTTTATCGTGTTCACTAGTGTACATTGTTCTAGTTCCCCGTGCCATGGCCCATCCAGATATCTCATTATCAGTTATCGCTCTTTTAACTCAACTCTCCAAGTTTTTGTTCAACTCTGCTGTAGCCAAGTATTCTTTGGGTCAAGTCACTGGATTCACCCAACGCCTTTATCCACAGGGCCATGTCTCCTTGAGAAAGAGGCATGGCATGTGGAACTAGAACAATCTACCTCAGTGGACAGAAAAGATTTGATTCAAAATTCCAATCACCTGAAGAAGGCTGGAGTCTACAACAGTTGAAATATAAATATGGCAACAAAAATGGGGACAACAGTCTGAACAAGATAAATAGTGTAAATAATTAGCTCAGAAATATAAATAGATATGATCCTGCTGTGTTTTCTATTTCACAAAACCAACTGTTTCTATATAAAGTGCACCATTTATTGAAACCATATTCAAACTGATTTTTCATGCCAATTGAAGATAAGAAAAAAAAATCAAGGAAATAATATTGAAGACTTCTTTTTTTTTCATAAGATCATTGACTTCTCATTTTAATACAGAAAACATTCATCTGTTTGTAGGACCTGTGGAACAGCAATGATTAGACTAAATGAAGTGTTACATCTGTGCTCCTGTGCCAAAATAAGCTATACAAAATAAATAATACATGGCAGTGATATAAGTCATCAATATAAAATTCAGTCCACAGCAGTCATTGACGCTTAATGGTTAGTATGCAAATTCGGAATGGGGGGAGATAAATGAGAGATTCACAATGTTACTTGTGAAAGATACAAAATGACGATGATGAATGCTTTTTCTTTTACCAAGTGAAAGAACCATAAATGGATAAACAGAAAAAGAAATTGACTTCATAATTACTGACAAGAGAAACACTGTTTATAGCAACTACATATTTAAACAAAGTCAATGCAGAGAAAGTGATTGTAGAATAGTAGTATACAGTATCAAATTTGACTAAAAAAATTCAAGAGAAAATAATTATCAAAAAGAAAAAAAATTGTCATAAAATCAAACATTACTGAATTGTGGAATGATGTAAATAACAGAAAATATGAATAGCAAATTGGCAACTTTAATTATAGAAGTAGCAGAGATAACAGAAAAACAGAAATAGCAATAACAAAGAACTACTCAAGACAACACTAGTAGAACTAATGAAAAAAGAGAGCAAGAAAGACGGTCTTAAATACAATAGCAAATCAATAAACAAAACAAAGAAAAAAAAACAAAAAAAATCAATGAACACGGAAAGAATAGAAATCACCAGAAAAGGAAAGAGCTTGAAAGATGT